CTTCGGTCCACCCCGCCACCACGTTTGGGCTGTAGGGCAAAAGCACCTTGGACGGTTGCGGGGGTTCCCCGGAGGGCCTCTCGGGAGCCTTTGTTTTGTTTGGGGGGGGAGGCAGCTCGAGTGCATTCTGGAGCCTCTGTGGGTTTCTTTTGAGCCTTTTGGCCCCCCCTCGGGTTTTTTTTTGTTTTTTTTTTCCCAACCCTCCTTAGTTGGGTACTCGTTTTGAATAGAACAGTGCGGTCTCCACTTCTCGTCCTTCTCCTCCCGCCTCCCGCCTGCCGCCTCCCTTTTGTCCCCTCTCGCCTCGTGCGCACCTCTTGTGTATGCATCTTGCCTGCGGAGTCTGTCTCCGACCTCGCCGTCGCTGGGGGGGGGGCCTGCGATCTGCGAAACTGTGGCCACTTTCGAGGACTGCTGGTGGGTCCAACGGAGTGAGGCACCACGCGGATCTGAGCGAGACCTCGCCGCCCTTGGGGGGCTGCGCTACGCGAAACTGTCGCCACTTTCGAGGTCGGCTGTTGGGTCCAGCGGAGTGAGGCGCCGCGCAGAACTGAGCGAGACCTCGCCGTCCCTGGGGGGCTGCGACCTGCGAAACTGTCGCCATTTTCGGAGGAGCTGGTGGGTCCAGCGGAGCGAGGCACCGCGCGGATATGAGCGAGACCTCGCCGTCCCTGGGGGGCTGCGATCTGCGAAACTGCCGCCACATTCGAGGTCTGCTGGTGGGTCCAACGGAGCGAGGCACCGCGCTCTGAGCGAGACCTCGCCGTCCCTGCGGGGCTGCGATTTGCGAAGCTGCCGCCACGTTCGAGGGTCGTTGATAAGCCCAGCGGAGGGGGCACAGCGCAGAACTGAACGAGACCTCGCAGTCCCTGGGGGGGGGCTGCGACCTGCGAAACTGTCACCACTTTCGAGGTCTGCTGGTGGGTCCAGCTGAGCGTGGCACCGCGCGGATCTGAACGAGACCTCGCCGTCCCTGGGGGGCTGCGATCTGCGAAATTGCCGCCAGTTTCAAGGGCTGCTGGTGGGTCCAACGGAATGAGGCACCGCGCGGATATGAGCGAGACCTCGCCGTCCTTCGGGGGCTGCGATCTGCGAAACTGTGGCCATTTTCGAGGTCTGTTGGTGGGTCCAACGGAGCGAGGCACCGCGCGCATCTGAGCGAGACCTTGCCGTCCCTGGGGGGGTGCGAGGACGCCACTTTCGAAGGCTGCTGGCGGGCCCAGCGGAGTTAGGCACCACGCAGATCTGAGTGGGACCTCGCCATCCCTGGGGGGCTGCGAGCCTCACGAATGCTGCCTGCAAAACTATATGCGCCCATGACACGCTATGACCTGTGTATAACGTGTCGCAAGCTGCTCGTGCCCCGCATTGCGCAGGGGTTGGGTGCGTCGCCAGGGTAATTGGAGTCCAGTTGGCGGTTTCGGCAGTCATTTTGGGGCGGAAGGCCCGACCTGTGGCCCCGTTGTTGGGGTTGTTTGGCGGGTTTTTGGGACCGTTTCGGAACCCTCATGGGCCGCATTGGAGGCCTGTTGGAGGCCTCTGGGTGCGATTTCGAGGGCCTCTGGGGTCATCCTGGAGCCTTGGAGGCCCGAAAAAGCGACAACGCTAAAGTCCAGCTGACCTTTCATTGCCTCCTCGGGCCGTGTTGGGGCGCCCCGTGGGCCGTCTTGAAGCCATCTTGGGCGTCTTGGGGGGCTCTTGGGCCGTCCCGGTGCCCTTTGGGATCTTCTTCAGAACCTCTCGGGGCTTCTGGGGCCTGTTCTACAGTTTTCGTGCTTCCAAACAAGGTACGCGGGAACACGCGACTAAATCCAGGAACGCCCAAGAGCACCCGGATGTTGGGGGCGCGGGCCATCTGAACGAGCATTACAATATTCAATACAGGGGATTCGCTGGGACCTGAGGACACTCCACTTCGTGCCTCTGGGCGCGGTGGCGGATAAGGCTAGAGCACGTCCATTTTTGAGTTGCGATAGTTTTGAACGCGCGTGCCTTATCAGATGCCACCATGGCCAGAGGTGCGTCCAGATTGTCCTGGTGTCGTCCGCCAAATTGGTTGTATCTACATGTCCGCACTTCCCACGTTGCCTTATTTCCCTTCACCGCAAATTTCACCCACCAGCCAAAGACCATTCTTTCTCGCGCGTAGATATGGTCGCACGACGCATGCATGTTAAGTTGGGAAAGTGATTCGGCCGTTGACCAGAAGGGAAGCCCCCTGCACATCGAACCGTGAAGGGCCATTGTTGCCGCAGTCCCCCGCGGCGCACGTCGCATTGCCTTCCCAAACACGAACATTGCGCGGGCGCCACAATGTTCGAGGCTTCTGCAGGGCGTTACCACTGCCATGTCGGGAATTCCCCTACAGTCGGGCCGCTCACAGGGTTGGCAGAGAGGGTGCAGACCGCTTTCGCCGATCTGAGCATTGAACACAACGGGCGGACAGGCCGCCTTCGCAATACACGTGCGCCTGCGGAAGTGCCGGCCCACTTCCGTCGCCCAGGGGATTGCGCAAGGTCTGGCCAGACATGGGGCCCCACACGGGCCTAAAAACATCGTGTTCCGCGCCGCTGCCGCCCCGAAGGCCGCCGGCGTCGAACATCTA